CTTTTTTCCTAGTCCTTTTTTTTATTAGAAAAATTTAGATATTTTTATTTTTACAAATTAAATATCACTACCAACTTTTTTATTCAATTATTTTATCTAAAATTTATGTACCATAGTTTATCAAGAATAGTTCGGAACTACACCCATATGGTGGATAATGTTGTAGATATTTATTTGGTATAACTTACAAAATCAAAATTTATACTGGTTTGGTTTAGGTTCACTTTATGACTGTTTAATATATTTATGATTTCACTCATATTTTGAAACTTAGCTTAGACTGATCAGTTAGATTTCTATCAAACTCGTGAATTGGATAACCAAAACAGACATGTTGATACTGGTTCAATAATTAAATCTCCTAAGTTTTAAAACATAACTTAGAAATAGTTATATTTCTTAACATATAATAAAAAATATATTTATAAAAATTATATAAAAAAATTTATATGCTTAACCCGTCCAATTAACCCGTGGATTATAATATTTTTTAATGGTTTAGATCTTAATCGTAATTCACTTATATGCAAAAAGAAATATGTCAAAGTATATAATGCTATGTTCAACTCTCGGTATTCCTCTATCTGTATAATACATTGAATGTACAGAGGTGGCTTTATAACTATCATATTATAGATATAATATATGTAGATGTAACTTAATAATTTTTCATATTTAGTGTAAAATTTGTAATTTTAGAATTTTAGCTATCCAAAAATAGTTTGTTATTTTTTATGTCCAGTTCCATATTATTAAAAATAATTTTTAGTATTTAAATTACATCTTCCTACTATTTTACTTTTTTTTTTAATTTTCAATATATATAATTATATGTCTACACCCACTACATAATCAAAAAGATCAATGTCATTATCATGATTTGTGAGAACGAAAGAATGTTGTTCCATTTTAAATAATTTTTTAAATAATATAGTTTAATATGTAGATGTTATACACTTGATTTTGAATCATACAAAATATATTTCAATATGTAGATTTAATATAGATTGATTTAGATTTTATTGTTAAGATTTTAATAAATGAAAATTTTCACTGATGAATCTACACTAATTAGTTAGTTTCCTAAATTATAGAATCGATCAATATTTTTATAATTAATATGACATATTTTTACGGTTTGTTTCTCCACATTTATGGTTGACTTTTATTTCTAGTACGACATTATATAATTTCTTCGCAAGTACGAAATTATATAAGTTTAAGAGATTTTATGTGATATGGAAAGTTTCTTTGCAAGATTTTAGAATTTTTTTTAAAATTTATTGATTTATTTTCAGATTTTTAATTTAAATATTTTTTTTGTTATCTTCTTAAAATTATATAGTTTTTAAAATTTGATGATATAATAAAATATGTTGTATATTTCTTCACATTTTATGCTATATAGAATTTGATTGTAGCTTATTTTCTAATCTAACATATTTTTTTTTATTTTTTTCCTAAAATATCATATTTCTTTATGTTAAATATATAATGATTTTTATTACATTTCATTAATTATATATTTAGTTTTTTCGAAAATTTCGGAAAGTATATAATTAATATTAAATATGTTTACATATGTTTAATTTTGAATTTAATTGTCCACTTTTTATGGTAACAAACTTAATATGGTTTCCATAAATATAGATAATTCATAATTTTGGTGTATTTTTTATTTATTTAACTATTTTTTTGCTGTCTTTAAATGTGTTTGGCAATAGGTTTGCAATCACATTTTTTGTAATATTTTTTTTTTCAGGTTTGTTTGGCAACAAAGACTAAAAATGATCCCCAATTAATAGTATAGATTAATAGCATCAATAAATTACATATATTTTTATAAAAACGAGGTAATTATAAAAAAATCATAAATTAAGATGATATAATTTTATTTAAAATATTACTTTTTGAAATATTTTTTTTGTTTTCATAATATTTTAATTTACGATTGTGTTCTATATTTTAAATGTCAAAAAATGATTTTTAATTTTTCTCTAAAGTCCTCATCTTTTATTTATTATTTTCTTCAATTATGTTTGATAAATTGTTTTATTAAAAATAAAATAAAAAATCAAAATATCACTAACTAACCCACGATCTCTAAATATCAGAGAACTCCTTTTATGTATAAATATTTTCTAAAACTTTTCTCTCCATTTCACAAAACACAAACAAAAAATATGAAAATCATCACACGACAAAAACTCTTCTCTGTGAATTT